ATAGAGTTTAAATCGGTTATTTCATTATACTAATGTGCCGAAGGAAAATTTAGCGAATCTTTTGAAATCGATAGAATATTCCCAAATCGATTAAGAGAACATCAAACATGTGCAACTGTATTTAAAGAGATTGCAATATTAGCCACGTGTATGTTGGTTTTGAGAAACCGCATATTTTAATACACAAAATGTTACTTATTAGTAATTAAAATCATTATATAAATGTTTGGAATCTACTTTAAATAACCTAAAACTATTTTGGCTTAGTATTATCTTCATTTACCACAAACAAACTCGTAATAAAAAGTAAATACAACGACATTGCAATTTCGACCACACTGGTCGGCGCCACAATACAATTCAAGTTGATCGGGTAACAGAGTACTTACTGGTATTTAATTTAATCACAAGTATTATTATAATTACTGAGAAGTGATCAGCCGAAATTAATATCACCTCAAGTATTGGCTAAACTTTCCGAACGTCATTAATATGCAATTATTAGTCGGCCGGTTGCATCACGCTTGGTTTAGTAATGGAATTTCAATTCCAATAATATTTAAAAGTTCATTAATTGATCTTAAAAAGGCTCTCTGAAATCCTTGGGCACTTGGTTATTTTGCTCTCAGACCAAATCGTTTTTGTACTTACCAATTAGTAAAGAAACTTAACATTTTGTAAAATTGAAATGGAACCTATAAAATGTTACTGACTTTCTTTAATCGTCAAAACTAAAAACTTTATTGCACAAATAGAATGGGTGGATATAATTATTATTGCTAAAAGCATTTTCTACCATTATTAGCATAACATTTTCCATTATTTCTGAATATACACTAGCCATTACCAAGCATCGTTTTCACCTATCATTTGCCTACTGCTTAACAACCGGTTAACAAATGGTTCGTCGGTGCAACCGGCTCCGAACGCGTGCCGCGGTAGTATAGTTTCCACTGATTACTGATTACTCACTAATTGTCATTTTTCCGTTCTGACACACATTAACCAGTGGAATTTTATGCCAGGTTATACAAAAGATTCCACGCTCTGTCAACTTAGGCGTGACCTTTTAAACAAACGTTAAGGCTCTGATAATCAGAGTTAGAGTCTGATTTAAACTAAAATAAATACTCCAAAAACGAACAAACAGTTGACTTAAGAATTTTATAATATTAAGTTAGTTTGCAGTTGCATTATTATTAATTCTACGTAAAACACTAAATTGCACGAGACAGTTAAGTCACATGTTTTTATTATTTACCTACTATTTAATTAAAAAACATGGCTTGAAGACGAATGATTTTATATCTTTTCGTGGTAATGTTGTCTCAGTTACCTACATAATGGAAATATTTACAAAAACGGTATAGATAGGTAATTTACTATAGAAATCATAGTAACCTAAGGTTAAAACAATAGAGATTCATGTTCAATTTAGTGCTCAATTCCCACATTTTTACACACAAATTCAGTCTGAAAGTCTAAAAAATTCATGAAGAAATAGCATGCTCTCTGAAGCAAAACCCCGTCATTTTTTTCATTAAATGAAGACGCCTTATACTTAATTCATGTTTCGGAAAGAAAAAAGTACCCTGTTAATAACCGGACCTGATCCAATGAGTTTCCCACCGCGAGGAAGTCGCAAAAACTGCGCCAACGCAGGATTTACCGAAGCCCCTCGTATGCGCGAGAAAAACCTATCGCAAAAACGAGAATGAGATTTTTATTCTAATTGAACATGAACATGCATAAAGCGTGTGAAATCGTCGCTGAAAATGATATTTAAAGATGTTTTTTCAATGAATTTTTAATGAACGGAATTGTTTTTAAGGCTTGTTTTCGATTTATACGAATAAAATTGTTCCTTCTATTTATACTACTTTAAATAGTAAAACATAAGATTTTATTCAGGATTTTTATGTAGTTTTTTTATGTATTTTTAATAGCATGACATCATATTGTAAATTGACAGACAGTACACACAATATCAGGCTCTAATGAAGATGTAGAGTCAACTTTGCAAGTCAAACGGACGAATAGGTCGTCGCCAAGTTCATGTTTGTTTGATTACGTGTTCCTAGAATTGACACAAATGCTAACGAACTATGAATATCCACGTGCTGGAATTTGTTTAGAAAATTGTAATATGTACTATGAGATAGATGGTATACTAACCCTTAAATAAAACTTATTGATCTAAACAGTAATGTAAATACCGTTGTATTCTCTGTAAGGAGTTTTTAAAGTCTACCCTACACTCCTAGTCCCACCACTGCAATTTATAGCTAAGATGACTGCTTGACCCCAATGAAACCAAATCAAAGATGTTTTGGGAGAAATACTTATTGTTTACTATCAAGTTTTATACAAATTACGTGTTTGCATTTTCGAGACAACAAAGTGTACCTAACATTAAAAATATATGTTTACAACCTACATTGTCCAACTATCGTAATATAACGTCGTAGTTTAAATGATAACATTTTTTTTCGTTTTCAGAGTTCGTTGTCTTCCATCTTATTTGTAGAGCTATCATCGATTAGTTGGTTCAGTACATCACTAATCCCATGTCCCATAATAATAAATTGAGATAACTCCAGAGTGTTAAGGTGGGTGTTTACGGAGAAAAAACAGTTATCGGGTGTCGCCCGAGATGCGCATATGCGTAGGCGCAACCCACGCGCCTTATAAAATCCTGCGTACAATTAAGGTTACCCCTTAATTATATGATTGATGTAAAACTCATTTTTTTTAAATTAGGACTGTGAAATATCTATATCAGCTTAAAAATAGATAATATCTATAATCTACGTCACCTTCTATAAAGCCAGTCATGTTGACGAAAATCATATGCAATGACATGAATAAGGAAACATAGTTGTAAATAAAAGAACATGGACTTTGAACGCGGATAGTTTTTAGAAATGTAAAAACAGATTCGATATTAGCCGATCTACGTCAATACGATTTAGCATAAATACTTGATAAAATTAAAATTGACTGTTGAGCTCTATTCGTGGGGTCTACCTATTATGGCCTACCAGAACCAGCGTTGACCGTTTATAGCATTGACGTCAAATATTTAATAGGTACTTTTTAAGCTATAGCGAATTTGATTGATCAAGTAAAAAGTATGAGGTTTATATTTTATCAGTCTCTATATCAAACTTAGATTAATAAAACCTAGATAGATAGTCAGTGCACGAAAGGAGAGGCAGTTTTTAGGGAGCCGGCACGGCTTACCCGTAAACGTCACATGAACTGTCAAAGTGAAAAATTGGGAAACACGTCCGACGAATTTTAATTATTAAAACGGTTTGTGCTGTGAAAGGGTGTCTAAAATACATCAGAAAAACATAAGAAAGTGACCAGTGTTATATTTCATAAATAAGTACTACGATTCGACGCGTATTTTGCTTGAAATTGGCTTTCAAAAATTAAATACGGGAATGATACCAGTAACAAGAAAATTTATTTCCCAATTGTTCGCCGTACAAATACACTTCCTTTTTTATGAAATCGAGACTTTTAAGTCGATTTATCTTATTGTTATTAGCTAGGTACATTGAATTCAATAAATAAGTAAGTACATGATGCGTTTTGTTTTTGTTAGTTATAAAATATTTAAAAACGTATGAAAAATTTCCCTACTTTCGGGAAAATCGCCTTCACTGTCTACACTCCCTAACAAAATTGACACTAATGACATAAGATTTTTGCCTCACTCTTGACGAAGCGTTTGTATGAAGACTATCCATCTAGGTTTTATTAATCTAAGATATCAAACATAAAAATCTCCAGCCATAACATTCACCTCTTACATGAGTTGTTATAAATCCCACGAGTGTTAATATAACATTAACAATAACAGTATTGTCTGAAGCGTGTACTCTCGGTTCCATCCGCTACCGGCGCCGGCGCTCGCGTTACGCACACATAAGTACGCCCAATTAAACACGCACACAGCTGTTATGGTATCGACTTGACTTGTTGACTTTCATTAAGTTCTAAGTCCATGGAAAAATCCAAATGTTAATTAGGTTAAAGCTAAGTTTGACCCGAATCATTTTGGCGCTAAACATACCCAATGTCATCTAATGTTTTCAGAAAAATAATTAATGTGCTCTTTTAAAGTCAGTAACCCACAAGAAGTGTGTTTACTAGCACTGTAATACATTATTATGTTAATACAAATTATTCATAATTCTCATCCAAAGTCAATCAAAATAATCCTATCATTATAATCCTTTACGCACGTACTCATAACAGCTCTTCATTTCAGGCCAATCATTAAGTAAGCTCCTATCTAGGGCGTGATCGGTCAGCAATTTCATCTGTCAATAAAATTATTACAACGCATAATCCGTGATTGATTGAACAGTAGCCAGTTGGACACAAATTGAGGCGACCATTGTGCTACCGCGGCTTGATTTATCGTCCGACTCGCTTGCGACACAGTAATAATTAGACCCGCATCAATTAGAAGAATGAAGAAATAAGCCGCTTAGAAAGTATGAAGTCCGCTACGGCAGGCCTACGAATCTGCTACGAAATTCGTAGAGCCAAAAATCTATTTCGCTCAGTTCAACAAAACCTTGTCAACTATTAAAAATAAGAGGTACTTAAATGTTTACCTACATAAATATTTCTTAAGGAAAATTGATAGAAGTGACTAATCGTAAGGCATCAGATCTTCACGATTGAATATTCAACACTCTACCTCTAAATTCTAAATCTAAACCCACGCACTAAAACACAGCGCTAGATTTTCTAATCCGCGCTCCTAACCTAGGCGATCGGTAGCGGCATAGATTGAGTGAATTGTGCGCGGCAGGCGTCGCGGCGTGCGCCCGCGCCGGCGATTGTTTACGGCGCGCACGCGCGGGCGCTCGTGGTCCCCGCGCCCCGCCGGCAGCTGCTCGGCCAGCACAGGTGGCGCGTGTGGGAACTCGGCAACTCCGTGCGTTCCCACGATCCGCTCCCTATATAAACCCCCGCCCGGCGCGCCAACCGCATTCCGCGTTCAACGCTCAACGCAAACACACGCACTCACAACACTCAACCATGTCTTACGAGATCGCTTACTCGCTCGCAGACGACGGCCCGCAGCCCGTCTCGCGCACTTACCAATATCGCAAAGTGATGAAGCCGATGCTCGAGCGCAAACGCCGCGCTCGCATCAACCGCTGCCTCGATGAACTCAAGGAGCTGATGGTCAGCGCCCTTCAGTCGGAGGGCGAGAACGTCGCTAAACTGGAGAAAGCTGATATTTTGGAATTGACCGTTCGTCATCTGCACAAACTTCGCCGCCAGCGTCGCCTGTCACTCAACCCGACTGTGGACGCCGACCGCTTCCGTGCTGGATTTACTCACGCCGCAAATGAAGTGTCCCGCTGCCTGGCTTCCATTCCTGGAGTGGACGTGAGGTTGGGAACTCAGCTGATGACACATCTTGGACACAAGCTGAACGATATGCAGCGCGCTGCCGCGGGATCTGACACGCCGCCAGCGAGCCCACCCAGCCCCGCTCTGTCGACCTCCTCATCATCCTCTGGATACGTGAGCCCGTCTCCGCCGGCGTCGCCCGTGCACATGCACACGCCCCTGGACTGCACGACCAGCGCGACCTTCACCAAGGCCCCAGCAGTGTGGAGGCCGTGGTAAGCCGCAGCCCCGGGTCAGGGGGCCGGCTCCGCGGTCACATCTGTTTAGCGCCGTTCGGAGCCGCCGCTCCTCAATGTGTCCACCCTGATCCAAGTTCAGTGTTGCTCATGTGAAGTTGAAGATGACCAGATCTCACGATAAATTAGTGTAGGGAAAATAGTTCGTAAGTTGAACAAGAAGCTTTAATAAAAGTAGCCTATAAGACTATTTGTGATATTAAAGAGTAATAATTATTATTGTATAAGAAATGTTGTATCGAGCCTTACTGAGGTCGCATTGTTATATTTTTATCGTTGAAAAGATTTCACGGATTGTGAACAAGAAGAGAATAAGTTAATGAAAAATATATTATTTCTAACTCTATTTCTGCATTTCAATTATCACCTTTTACACTAAGTTTGATAACACAATGGGTATACAAAAACTCAAATACACACACACATGTAACACAGTACCAAAAACAAGTGCCTAAAATAAGTAAACAATAAGATAAAGAATTATTATGAAAAATCGGTGGCACGCGAAGAGCTAAGGTCACTGATAAGAGAGTTATCATGTGCCCGAAATAAACTGAAGACGAAAACACATGAAATGAAGACTGTTGAAATGTCAACAAATAGCTAAGGAGGTTAAGGGCATGCACCTATGACACGCCGCGCGCGCTCGGATGGGAACTTTCCTGTTTACGTACGCGCATGTCCGCGCGATACTACGCACGCTGTCATGAATGATACATTGCACAGAGCATTGTATGTAAACGATGACGGTAAGTAAGCGGTCTAGTTAATTGTGCAAACGGAGGCTAATGATAGGGTTATTGTGCCAACGTTCTATTAGATGTTTGAAGAAGGGAACCGCGAATTAGTCATTGAAGTAAACGCAAAATTGGCGCCAAAATAAAAGAGATTTTTTTTATCCAAAACCAAACTTTTTCAGGAAAATCGTTAATAGGCACCACATACATTTATCTAGCAAGTAGGTAAAGTGGAGGACAAAATTACATTAAAATTATAGAATCACACATAAATAAAAACGATAAATAATCCTACTAAACATATAATAATGCAATAAAGTTCGGAGGAACTAAAGATTAGTTAAGTATAATTCAGAATTATATCTAGTCCCTATCCTAAAATATGTATCTAAAAAAAAGATATTTATAAATTTAATTATATTGAGAGATACTAACTTAGAATCTAACCCTAACATACTCTAAAAAGAAACTTTACTGCAAAACTGAATGAACATTGCTAAGTTTTTTAGTGTTTTACTTTTGATTAATGAAATTAAGTATCTTCAACAACTGAAAACTGAAAAATTTTCAGCGTGAACTCAAATGCCTTCGAAATGTAGAGCATTTACGTGAAGTACAAATTCCTTATAGGGACTTTCAAAAAGTTTCTTACTTTTGAGCACTGTAAAGTATAATATAAAATTACGAGTACAATAAAAAATGTTGTTAGAGTTTGCTTGCGCTTTTCTTGGCACGATACCCATAGCGCCATCTGTGATGACTTTCACGAAACTTTCAAGCTGCAGGCTCTATAATTAAGGCTTAGCAGCGACATCTACCGAAAAGCTCTATCCTCCGCTGTCTTCTGAAAGCTCAGTTGCTTGATAGAGTCTCTGAAAGCATTGTAGGGTTGGTTCGCAGTTCATTTAGGTAGTTAGATAAGCATGCTTTTACTCGACTGGTTGGCATTTTCAAGGTTTTTCTGGGGACCTATGTTTTATGTCTATATTTTGACTTGAGCTATAGCAAAATATTTTAAAAAACATCTTTTAAATAAAATAGAGATATCATTAGATTTGTTTCAATTGTGAGGGTGATAAGAGTAATATATTTTTCATAATTGATTGGAAAATAAGGTTGAGTTGCACCACCTAACAATTACCGGTGTTTTTTGTATGGAGTTGGACAGATATTTGACGTTTGACAAAGTTAAAGTAAGATGGTGCAATCCAGGCTAAAAGTTTCTGAGACCAGTGGGTCTAGACAAAGTGCAAATTATAATCGCAAACCAGTCGGAAAGCCCCTTTTTTGTATGGAGTTTTGACGGATTCGATTTTCGATTCGATCAAAAAGTGCGTTTTGTCTAGGGGGGCCGCTGTAGGTATTTATAGCTGTAGATATGATATTTCCATACTAAACGTCACTTTAAAACAGGGTTCAGCTAGTGTGTAACTTTTTATTATTAAGGGGTTATAGCACAGGTTATAGTTACAATTTTGGAACCTATTCTTAAAATATCATTTTTCCTCTTTATCTATGCTTTAAACACGCGCCTAGACATAATCGCCATGATCTCTTCCTACCACTGTCACATCTAGTGATAAGCTACGTTAGTCAGGGTTGGGTTCAGTTGCATCATGCTGATAACAGTGATAAAAACAATTGACTGCTCACTGGTCAATGTAACGTGATACCCGATTTTATGTAATAAACAAGAATATCTGGCTCGGAACCGGCAGACGAAGTAAAAAAGCGGTTATGTTATTGAACTGGTGGTTTTTTTGTGAGTTCATATCAAGACTATGTCAAACTGTTTTAAAGTTGCCTCTGAAATGATAAAATAACCAGATAATTTGTGTGACTGGTGGTAAAGGCGAAGCAGCAGCAGTTTTTAGTGATGTAACAATTAAAATATAATATTTTCTTAAGTTCACTTTCCTGTCTTATCATGCGTTCACTAAGCACTTTACTAAAGTGGGTATTTTTAAAACCATCGCAAATATAACTAATTTCACGTTAACTAGTTGCACGTATTTTAGTTATTTCACAACATCCTACGACATAATTCACGTGTCATCACAAGCTCTTTATTTCTAATCTCGTCTTATCAGACTCGGAGAAATTATTTCATTGATAAGACTAAATATAGACAATAAGACGTCATAAGAGAAAAATACACATCTAACATCAATGGAAAGTTTCCCCTGATAAATAAGCACGCGCATGCGCGGGTCAATAAAGCATTAATCACTTATTAATCAGTTAATTATTGTATTGTTTTTACCTTATTTTTATGGACGATGGAACTTAATGACACTGTACACTGATTGATCTTTATTATAAACTTACTTATGAATAAATAAAAATACTTTATTTTTACATAAGTGTAAATACTTATAAATCTAAAGAAATCATATTATACCAGTTCAGTACAGCTTAAAATTAAATTTCCCAAAAATCTGCGGGTTATGCAATCGCAATTGAAGAGAATAATGTAAGTAAGTAAGTACTATAAAGATTGGCGAGATATAGCCTAGGTTTCAGCAGTAAAACATTGATAAACATCGTAGTAAATAAATCTTGATCGATGGCTTGTTTTTTCGTTGTTTGAGCACCATTTGAAATAGCCATAGCAAATACTCTCCACTCCACATTGATAAAATTGAAATAGGTACACTGTTTTTATGTGCTTTCAACTTCTCACTTCTATGAACAATCATCAACATCATAATTATCTCAGCCATAGGACGTCTACTGCTGATCATAGGCATGGGGGAGGCCCAATGCTTTCCATGTAGCGGCCTGCGTCCAGCGCCTTCCTGCTACCTTTACGATATCGTTATAAATATAAACAATAAACCTAAAAAAATTTTTAGTAAAATTGCAAATAAAGGTGTGCCCTTATCATTCAGCTTATCGTCTATCGCTGTAAACGAAGCCTATTATTTAGAAATACCTGACCAAGCCTAATAATATCCTCATGGTCTACACATGATCTGGCAATCAGTACTTACATAACTAATTTTATCATAGTCACGCCCAGACAATGCTTTGTGTGATATCCACGAGTTTATACAGGGTGGCGTGATCGAATCAGAAATGAGGAGATCCAAGAACCAATGTGACTGACATAGCCCGCAGAATCGCTAAAATCAAGTGGCAGTGGGTGGGGCTCCTACTAGGTGGACCGACGATCTGGTGAAGGTCTCGGGAGGTGCCTGGATGCTGGCGGCGCAGGATTGGTCTTTGTGGAAATCCTTGGGGGAGGCCTTTGTCCAGCAGTGGAAGCTTTCGGCTGAAACGAACGAACAGGGTAGAAATACCTACACTAGTGATTTTAGATTTATAACCACACTCATTTCACAGTCTAGTCCATTCCAGCAAGATTTTCAGCCACCAAAATGCGTCTATTTATATCTGAAACGCTAGCTTATGACTCCCAAAGCAATCTTTCCTCTTTCCAACTTTAGCTTCCACATAGAGTATCATTGTGTTCTGGGGATTCTCCCCTAGAACATATTTGATGAACCAAATAAACTCTTTGTTTTTATTTATTTATTGCTAAATAGATATGACTTGGATCACTGTGACTCTACTTAAGCTTCGTCGTGAAGTATTTATGAGTAAGTATTTATTTTAAAAATTGCTACAAATTTGGAAGAAAATGGGCAAAGTTCCAATTTCTCGGGAGGATATTTAATTTTGATGCCATTATTTTTTTTTGCAAACACCCTGTATACAATTTTCCTGTAAACCTTAATATTAGATAGCAATATCAAAGGCGATACTAACACCAGTGTGTGGTAACCGCCTGAGAAATGATCGGTGGATTCGTGTCGATAGAAATGTTGGGTAGTTACAAAATTATCTATCGCTATCGGAATACCTATATCACCTCATGCCGATTACGTGATTTAGGCTGTTGATAGGACGACCCTGACAGCTCATGGTTTGATCTAGAATATTACACAACGTTACACAACAATAATAATATGAGTGTATTGTTTTTCCATGAAACCAAGAATAGATTTCCATTAATAATTATAACCTGTACCTACAGCGGCATTTGATTTTTTGTTTATTTACGTCTTTCATACAATATCATGAGTATCATGACTATAAATACTTCAAGTTTACTAAGTAAGGACATATTATTATTACCGTGCTATGGAGCAATCTATGAAATGCTGATTCAATCAATCTACGTCAGATCTCTACCATAGACTGAGCAAGCTAGTCAAAACATTAAGCAATTAAAATCTATATAAAACTCGAAGGTGACTGACTGACTGACAGGATCGGGCTAAGAAAGGATTTTACGAAACTCCACCCCTGAGGGGGTAAAAGGGAATCCACGCGTACGAAGTTGCGGGCGGCCGCTAAGTAGTTGATAAATAAAAATAAACCTTAGGGGCCGTCCATAAATTACGTCATCGATTTTTTCAGATTTTAGACCCCCCCCCCCCTACAATCATCCTAGCGTCATTT